CCTTTGGCAGTTATTTTATTTGTGGTTAGAAATCATTTTTCTTCTTCCAGGGCATAAAACCAGCAAGTTTCAATAAAGTCACTGATCCTGAAGTGAAAGAAATTATTGAAGGATGCATTCGTCAAAACAAATCTGAAAGGTGTGTGCAAATGTAGCAAAATGACATAACTGATGGGTGTATATTTAGCTTATCTCCCACTAGGTCATTTTCTGACCTTTGAATGTTGGCTGTTTATGAGTCTTGAGTGGGAGCCAAATTATATTGTGTAGAGTGTAGTATACCAGTCAGTGTTGTTTATCATTTTAGAATTTGATAGCATGTGTCAAATTTTTCTTAAACCAACATTTGGGTTGTATTTTTGTGTGTGTGTGTGTTGTCACATACTTTCAGATATCAGTTAAACAGTCAGTGCACTGCATTTTAACCATTGCACCACTAGGCTCCTAGGCCCTTATAGGTTAACTTGCTTGTAGTAGTTGAGAGTAAAGAACTTCTATATAATATACCACTTTCAGTACATTCTTGGATTTTTTTTAATGATAGCTTTCTGTTTTAAAATTTTAACTACCAAACCACCCAATATTTTTATTTAATCATATTTCCTCGTGTCATGATCGTGGTAAAGGTGATAAGGATGCTTTTGTTTTAGAAAGAATATTCTGGATGTTTTTCACAATTCATGTTTTCCTATAGTCGATGTAATTTAGCCTTAGCTTTACTTTGAGCTTTGGACAGTTACTGACAGAAATTGGTAGATTAGTGTTTTAATTTTTTATGTTCTTTATAGAAATTATTTTCACCAGCATTTCAGTGATTCCCCGTCTCCCATTCTTATTAGTTTCCTGTCTAGATTTAGTGTTGCATATCTAAGACTATATAAAGCCACTAAGGTAAGGCTTGTTTAATTATAGTTTTATTACAGAATATTCTTAGTGTTTGTACTGGCAGCCTGCATCTAGGTATGTTTTGTAAATGAGGGTAAAGGTACTGTATTGAAGTATTTTTACAGTTTGGATTCTGATTATTATTTGTATAGTATTTTAATTATGATCTGTATCAAAGAACATTGGAACTTTCAAAAGGATTTATGTCATATTAGTATATTGGGAGGAGCACATGCTTCAAAGTCAGATGATTATTCAAATATAAATGCAAACTTAGCCTCCCTGTATATAGTAAGTATCCAGTAAATAGTAGTTTCTGCTACTGTTGTTATAATTATTCCTCAGTAAAAATATTTAGGCAGAATTTTTATTGAGAGCCAGAAGGCTTAACTTATTTGTGCCTTCTTAAACACATCTCATCCTTAATGCGAATTAGTCTGATTAAGCTTATTCTTCTTACAACACCATCTTAGTTATTTATCTCTTGATTATTAAAAATATGGAGGATTGAAAATCCTCAATATACAGGATATTATGCTGTGAATATACTTCATCTTTGGAAGGAAGGTTGGGCAATCTACTTCTGTAATGATACCTCCTCAGAAACCCAAGGAGGAGGTGTCATGGTGAGTTGGATCCGACTCAGCGGCAATGAGTTTGGTTTTTGGTTTATGCTTTATTTCAAGTAGTACTGGAGGAGCATTCTGCCTAGACATTATGGAATACATCACTTTCAGGTTTTCCTGATAAATTAGATGCTATATATCTATTTTAAAAAGTTGGTTAAAGAAAAGGAAATTAATTCCCCTCGCCCTCTGCAAAAGGATTGTTTGAACTCCTGTGTGTTTTTTTTTTTTTTTTTTTGGTTCTCTTCAGAGATGATTAACCCCAAATATTAGGTTAGAGTTGTGTCCACTGTATGTATACTTTGGCTGAAAACAGACTATGACACTTTGGGAAAACTTTTGTTAAAATCACATTAGCTTCACTAGTGGCATTTTCTAAAGAGTGAAGTAGACTGACTAGATTATTATTAATGGAGTCGATGACTTTTATTTGTACCATTCATTAACCAAAAAACCAAACTCATTGCCGTCGAGTCGGATCCGACTCATAGTGAAGTGTCCTTGGTTTTCCGAGGCAGTATCATTACGGAAGTAGATTGCCCAATCTTCCTTCTGAGAATATTCATTAAAGACTTTGAATTTTTAATTGACTTTCGAGTTTATTTATGTGGGAGCATTTTTAGTTTCCTTGGTCGAGAATTTAGTGTTTGACTAATTTAAGCCAGTGGATTAGGGAAGTAACAGATGAGACACGTGGAGGAAACACCATGGTATATCATTTTCAGACCCACAACCTGCTTTTTTAAAGCATGTCTTGGTAGTCTACTGACACTGGGAAATTTCATGATTGTTGAAAATTAATGAAAATGTTAGATGGAGTACATATATTTAATTTCACCCCCTCCTCAAAGTCCAAATTAAAAACCATAGTATATGGATTCTTTAAGTTACAATCCCACAGGGATAGGGAGAATAGGAGAAAGACAATAGCGATCCACCTAGCATAGCATGTACTACATTACTCCTCTAATTCTCTCGTTGTTGTTTTGTGCTGTCCAGTCATTTAAGACTCATAGCGACCCCTCTTTTGGTTTCCGAGGTGATACCACTATGGAAGTAGATCGCCCAATCTTCCTTCTGAGGAGTGGCTGTGGGTTTGAACTGTCAACCTTCTTGTTAGCAGTCAAGTGCCTTAGGCACTAGTCATGCTTTTATGTATGTTAAAATTTGGTATATAGATATGTTACTGATAATAATTAATCTTCAATTTAGATCACTGTATATTCAGGCTGGTAGAGATTTCTTTGCATCCCTGATGATAAATTGAATATAAGATTTGTTTTTTATAACAAGACAGATTAGTACTTGAATTCATAGAAATGTGAAAATTAAGTTTTTAATTTGATACAATAAATTTTTACTATTTATGTATTGACAGTTTTATATTTTGCTTATGACTAGAAAAATTGGTCATGAGATACATATTTTGTTTATTAGGTTGTCTATCAGGGATCTACTAAACCACGCATTTTTTGCTGAAGATACAGGACTTCGAGTGGAGTTAGCAGAGGAAGATGATTGTTCAAATTCATCCTTGGCTTTAAGACTCTGGGTTGAAGACCCTAAAAAATTGAAAGGCAAGCACAA